ATTATTATTAGTTTTACTGCTACGAGGAGGAGGAGGCGGAGGAGGAGGAGGAGGAGGAAGAGGAGGAGAAGGAGGAGGAGGCGGAGGAGGAGGAATAGGATGAGGATGAGGACGGAGGAGGAGGAGGAGGAGGAGGAGAAAAAAGGAGGAGGAGGAGGAGGAATGAAGGAGGCGTGAGGAGGAGGAGGAGGAGGAGGAGGAGGAGGACGGAGGAGGAGAGGAAGCGGAGAGGAGGAGGAGGCGGAGTGAGGAGAGGAGGGAGGAGAGGGGAGGAGGAGGAGGAGGAGGAGGAGGAGGAGGTAGGAGGAGAAGAGGAGGAGGTAGGAGGAGGAGGAGGAGGAAGAGAAACATGAGGAGGAGGAGGAGGAAGAGGAGGACATCGGAGAACAGAGGAGCCATAAACTTTTTGAATGCCTCTCAGAGTCTCCTCGAATGTCTCGGACGCTTTTCGGAGGCCTTTTGGAGCGTCTGGAGAGCACCTTGGCGGGCCCAGGGCCGTCTTTGAACGTCTTGGGTGCCTCTTGGGGGTCTCTTGGGAGCTTCTTGCAGGCCTTTTGGACGCTCCTGGGGGCCTCTAGGGGCGCTCTTGGTAGAATTCGGGGCGCTCTTGGGGCCATCTTGGAAGACATCGATCAAACAAGGAAAGATCGCAATTATCATTGCCCCTCGGGAGCCCCAAAGGTCACATCTTAGGGCGCTCTTGGGGCGCCCTTGGAGCGCTCTTGGGCGCTCTTGGGGCCGTCTTGGGGCTCTCTTGGGCCTCTCTTGGGGCCCCCTTCGGCTATCCAGGAGTCATCTTGAGGCCTCGAATGGCTATCGAAAGCGAAAAGGCTAGAAAGCAAGTCATATCGATGTTCCTTTTGGTTTTGAGATTTTGGCTTCTTGGGGACCTCCTTGGAAGTCTCGGAAGCCTCTTGGAGCCGTCTTAGAGAGTTCTGATCGACTGACATCAGGTTCAAAGGGGGCTGAGCTTGTCAGTCAGATCTTCGCCGTGCGAGGGTTCATTTGGGTGTGATGGGGGCCGACTTGATTGTATGAGTGTGTGGCTCAGTAAAGCGGGACATTCCATTCTCAGCTCCGCCACCACGCTTATGACATCTTGGCTAAATGACGTTGAGCATCTCCCCTTCCGTTGCTTCCCACATGGGTCGGTAGGAAAGGGAACGGAGGATGGTCTGCATCAGCGTCGTCGTCGTCGTCAATGTCGTCACCGTCCGCGCGCTCGTCGAAGCCGTTGGCTCGAGCCATTGGCTCGAGCCGCTGCCTTAGCCCCGTGCGGGGCGGTAGCGAAATTCCAATGGTCCACAATCCCTTTAAGATGTGCCCCAAGTATCCCACAACCGTCGTCCGCCCCCAGCTCCGCCATCCCCTTGGCCTCCAGTCCCAAACCTCTATGGTCGAGGGATGAGGCCAGGACTGCGAGCATGGGCGACGGCAAAAGCAACCCTATCTAGCCACCGCGAAGATCGGGCCTCGTGGAGCATCTTTGAAGCCATCGGCAATCTTGAGCCATCTTGGAGGTCATCTCGGGCTCTCTGAGGCGCTGTTGGAGCCGTCTTGGGCCATCTTGGGCGCTCCAACTACCCGCGACCCCCCCGTCCAGGTCCAGGGGAGGGGGTAGGGGGCGGCAAGCCCCTCCCCGAAGGGGAAGAAAGGGGGTTGGAAGAGAAAGCTCCCTAGACCACCTACGCCCAGAGGGCTGGTGGGATGACAGGGGGGATCAGCCCAAACTAGTCCCAACAGTGGACAACCTGCTCGTTGAGAGTGGTAGTGATGAGGGCAAGGATGAAGACAGGAAAGGATTTATGATACTACTGATGGAAGGACGAAGGTCCAACCGTGACGTGGGGGTGACGATGAGCGGAGGTCCATGGGCGTAGAAGGATGTCTGCCGGGGGGGTACGGGGTCCAGAGGAAACAAGACCCCAACTCAGAAAACGGTGGACAAAAGGCAGTTCAAGAGTTCCGCGGCCCCCTCGAGCACGGCGAGCAGCAGATTGGTCGCCTCGCCGAGGTGTCCCGTGCGCGATGAGATGCCCGATCGCCGCTCTCGTTCCCTTCCCGTGAGGTTCCCGACGAGTGCGGGCCATAGCCTGTGCACTCTGCGACCTTATTCTTTTTTTTTTTTTTTTTGGTTCTTTTCTGTACTTTTTTCTGTGTTCCGTTTCTTTCTTTCTGCGACAGAGGAAAGAACGAGTACAGGCGAGTCGCTGGAAGAAGGACCACTTTGGGCTAAGGGCGGGGTTGCTCTGGTGTTTTCGGGCCGTCCCTCAGATGCAGGTCGAGGAACCTGTGCGTAGCCGAGGCTCGCCGTGGCGAGAATCGCCCTTCAGCTCCTTAAATGGCGCCCCTTCTGGCAGTACGATTGACGGCAGCTCCTCCTTGGCTGGTGCTTCGATTGGTGGAGTCCCCTTTCCCTCAGTGGATGGATTGCAATTTGCCAGCATCGGCACACTGGCTTCAGGGGAAAACAGCGATGCCTGCACAGCTCCGCCGCCAGGTCTGCCGCTTCCTAGACTGCCAGACCTTTTTCAAGGAGACCAAACTGTCGGTGCTGCTGCGGGCGCTCCAGCACGACCAGCCCTTCGCCCGGCGCAGGTTCCTGGAGAGCCTGGGGGGCTGCCGGCGGCGGGCCCTCGCCAACTGGAGCGAGCAGCCCATCGCGGCGGTGCTCCAGCGCAATTGGCTGGAGTTCGACCAGACTCTGTCGCGTATCCGCGCCATCCGCCTGCGCAACGCCATCGAGGGGCGGGGCCTCTCGGTGGAGGCGACGTTCCAGCGGTACTCCGCGGAGAGGGCCGAATAGTAATACGTAGCACCCCGCAGATGAGGATAAGAGTGATGGGGCGGTGGGGACGTCGGCGGTTTGCAAGACTCTGGAGAAGCCCGCCGCAGGCGCCAAAGTTTCACACATTGTACAGCGAGCCCGCCGCAGGCGCCGATCTTTTCGTTAAACCAATGTGGGTAGGTCGCGGTTGGGTCGCGGGTGGGTCGCAAATGGGTCGCGGGTGGGCCGTTGTCGGGTCGCGGGGTGGGTCGCGGGGTGGGTCGCGGGTGGGTCGCGGGTGGGTCGCGGGTGGGTCGCGGGTGGGTCGCAGGTGGATCGCGGATGGGTTTCGGGGTGGGTTGCGGGGTGGGTCGCGGGTGGGTCGCGGGTGGGTCGCAGGTGGATCGCGGATGGGTTTCGGGGTGGGTTGCGGGGTGGGTCGCGGGTGGGTCGCGGGGTGGGTCGCGGGGTGGGTCGCGGGGTGGGTCGCGGGGTGGGTCGCGGGTGTGTCGCGGGTGGGCTTCGGGTGGGACGACGACAATAAACAACAAGAGCAGCAAGAACAACAACGCAACAAACATAATCCTCACCGCCCACTTCAGCCACGCACCCATGGACAATGAATGACCGTTCGGCCCCTCACTCTGATTAATAGCAATGAGATGTCAGCCAGCGTGGACCCCAAACTGTGTGTGTGTGTGTGTGTGTTCGAGCATGCATCCTATGCTGTGCAGTATACGTGGTGCAATCTATGTGGTGCAATCTACGCGGTACGACCTATGTGGTGCAATTCACCAATGCTCGCAGTGAGTTGTCAAGTCCCATGCTCGCGCAAACATCCCACCCACCCACCCGCAAGCATCGGAGTTGGAGCCACCGACGCCATCGCTTACGCCAGTGCCAGCACTGTCGATAGCATCGACGCCGACACCATCGTCGACGCCGACCTGAGCACCGACGCCAACGCCTACGCCAGCACCATCGACAGCATTCTCGCTGACTGCAGCGCCGACGCCTACGCCAGCACCGTCGCCAGCTCTGACGTCGACGCCGACGTGGACACCAGCGCCGACACCAACGCCTACGCCAGTACCATCGACAGCGTTGACGCTGACTCCAACTCCGACGCCTGCGCCAGCACCGTCGTCAGCTCTGACGTCGACGCCGACGTGGACACCGGCGCCGACGCTTACTACAGTTCTGTTGCCAGCACTGGCGCCTCAACGTCACTATCGACTCTGATCAACGTCACTGTCGACTCCGACGCCAACACCACCACCGATGCCAGCGCCGACGTCAGCTTTGTTGTTATCATAGACTGTGTTGGCTCCGTTTGTGCGGGAGCATCTCGAGATACATTGTGTTGGCTCCGTTTGTGCGGGAGCATCCTTGGTTCTACTTTGTTGCGTGCTGCTGGGGCGGATGGACGGCAGACTCTTTACGGTGTCGGCGCGCAGGAGGCGCCTACAGCGCCGACGTCAGCACCGACGCCAGCGTCAACGCCAGCTTCTGCCTGTCCTCTGATTAGGTCGTCGACCTCGACCCCAGCGCACCGATGTTACGGTTTCCGCCGGGGCCACTCGCAGCAACCTCGTGACTACGTCCTTCGGCCTGACCCTCTGAGGACAGCCGCGGCTCGGGGCCTGGGCCTTTCTCTCCTCCTCTTCCCTCCTCTTGCACGTGTTTGATTTTTGAGGTGCTCGTTGCAGTTTTTCCCCATCCAGCCCGCATTCGATGGGCAGCGCTCCGGACATGCATGTGTGGCGTTGGCTGCCCTCGCAGCCGCCTGGCCGATCGGTCAGCCGCGTTGTGTGGCTTCGGCCCTTCGCCACTGTTTGACGATTCATCATGTCCACTTCACTTACTTTGACATTTTGTGCTGCGCACTGTAGTTGCATTGGCGTGGGTCGTCTCTGAATGCCGATGTGTTCGCCTGCGGGGCAGGGGACATTCGCTTCTTAATAACCCGTCAGGGTTTAATTTAGCTTGCAGTTTCATCTTTGCCTCCTGTCCCCCTGCTGCTCCCCCTTTCGTCCCTGCCTCTCCTCCTCCTCCCTCCGCTTCTGCGCGCCTCCAGCGGCGGGTTTAGAGCCACGTTTTGTTGGGAGAGTGTTCTCCTAAGCAGTGGCGGAACACCGCCTGTGCACCGAATCCGTGACATTTGTTTGGGCCCTTGCAGTCCACAGGGGGGGCACGATTTGTCCGCCGGTGGCGTTGCAGGCAGCTGAAGGCGAGTGGCTTCTGGCTGGTGCGTCGCGCGTTCCCTGCCCTTCCCTTTCCCCCCCTCTCCCAGAATATGCGCTGCTCCCAGAATATACGCTGAAGAAGGTTCCACCCACCAACCCGCAACTCGGTTTGTAAAATCAATGCGACGGCGATTTGGCTGAGTGCTTGGCGTTGGCTGGTGCATCTCTGCGGCCGCGCTGGCCCGCGCATGCTCGCGCGCGCAGCGACCAGCTAGTGCGGCGCGACTGACGCGGCCGCGGTGGCGCTGACCGCTGGGCACTTCCAGCGGGCACTTCAATGCGAGTCGGTGACTTGGGCGGGTGCGGTATTATGGCGACGCCGACAACGGTATACACAATGATGAGAGTAGTGCTGATGGTGACGATGGTGGCGATGACGACGGCAAGGCCAATGACGGCGCCGATGTTGATCACGCCCGCCGATATCGATGACGATGCCCTCGCGTCGGTCATGCAGGGTTTGGAAAGAGTTCGGCATGCGTCGGTGAACGACGCGCGCGAGTGGCCCGCGTGGTATACTTTGAAACGGACCGTGCCCCTCCAGTACGTGCGCAAGGGCGTTCGGATGAGTTTTACATGCTGCGCGGGAAGCCCGCTTGGCAGAATTTGATGGTAATGTTGAACAATCTATGGTTTTCGCAAGAATTTACATCAGCGCGCGCTCAAGACAAATCAGGCTGTTGCAGAACCATGTGTTTCTAAATGTTTGCGGGGCCTTCGATTTTGAAATCCCTACGACACTTAAGGTGTTTGAGATATTCCGGCACGCGCGCCCGACGACGCGCGCGCGTGCACTTCGTCCCGTTTGTTGCGCCAATTTCTTGTGACAACACGCGCGCAAGGGCGTTCGAGGGATTTCGACATGCGCGCGCGAGAGGCCCTTTTGGTAGCATGTGATGATCACGTTGAAAAAACTCTGGTTGTCTTCAGAATTCGCAAGGGCGCCATCGCAGGTTTTCGTCGAACATTTTTGTTGTGAAAACATATGCGTATACAGGTATATGTATATGTATAGGTATATGTATATGTAGATGTATATATATATATGTATATGTATATGTATAGGTGTATGTATATGTATATGTATATGTATTTGTATTTGTATATGTATATGCATATGTATATGTATATGCATAGATATGTGTATATGCATATGTATATGTATATGTGTGTATATGTATATATGTGTATGGATGTATGTATGTATGTGTATATGTATGCATGTATGTATGTATGCATGTATGTATGTATATGTATATGCATATGTATGTACATGTATATGTATAGGTATATGTATATGTATATGTATAGGTATATGTATATGTATATGTATATGTATATGCATATGTATATGTATGTATGTATGTATGTATGTATGTATGTATGGATGTATGTATGTATGTCTGTATGTATGCATCTATGTCTGTATGCATGTATGTATACATGCATGTATGTATGTACGTATGTATTCATGTATGTAAGCATGCATGTATGTATGCATCTATGTATATATATATATATATCAGTGGTACTCGATTTTTAGTTCTTTACGACGCCCAAGGTTCTTAAAACGGATTTCGGCATGCGCGCGCGACGACGCGCGCGTGTGCATGTCGTCCAGTTTGCTGCAAGGGGTTCTTAAACGCTTTTGGTTATTGAAAACTGAGTGGCGGCGGGGCGGTGGCGGCAACCACAAGGCGGCGGACGCGACGCGCAGGGGCCTACGCGACTGGCGGCGACGAGGCGGCGATTGGTCGGCGACGGCGGTCACTTAGCCGCCAGACCGACGCGCAGGCCCAGACGACGGGCGGCGACACACGTTTCGTGGCCCCATAGGGGGTCCCACCGAAGGCCCCAGCGGCAGCGCCCGCATGCGGTTCCACCCCCATTTCGGCACACCCCTCGTGGCCCCATAAGCAGCTCCACCGAATGCCCCAACGGCAGCGCCCCCATGCGGTTCCACCCCCATCGCGGCACACCCCTCACACGTTTCGTGGCCCCGTAGGGAGCTCCACCGAAGACCACAGCGGCAGCGCCCGCATGCGGTTCCACCCCCATTTTGGAACACCTTTCACACGCTTCGTGGCCCCATGGGGAGCTCCACCGAAGGCCCCAGCGGCAGCGCCCGCATGCGGTTCCACCCCCATTTTGGCACACCCCTCACACGCTTCGTGACCCCATAGGGAGCTCCACCGAAGGCCACAGTGGCTGCGTTCGCATGCGGTTCCACACCCATTTCGGCACACCCCTCACACGTTTCGTGGCCCTATAAGGAGCTCCACCGAAGGCCACAGTGGCTGCGTTCGCATGCGGTTCCACCCCCATGTCGCCACACCCCTCACACGTTACGTGGCCCCGTAGGGAACTCCACCGAAGAAGATATTCACAATAGCGGTACTCACAACTGCATGTGGTTGGGTCCTTCGCCAGGATTTTGTCTGAACAAATGAGCCTGGCGAAGGAGTCAACCATATGTAGCTGTGGGCAATGCAGGGTGCGACCTTTCCCTGATAGGTAGCGCGCCGCGACAAGGGTGGCGCGCGGGACGGTGCAAATGGCGGCCACGAACACGTGATAGGTGCGCCAGGGTGGGTGTGGAACTGTATGCGGGCGCTGCCACTGAGGCATTCGGCGGAGCCCCCGATGGGACCTCGAAGCGTGCGAGGATGCTCCCACTGGGGCCACGAAACCTGTGATGGTGAGCCAAAATGGGGGTGAATCTGCATGCGGGCGCTGCCACCGTGGCCTTCGGTGGAACTGCCTAGGGG